CTGGGCTGTAATTAGTGTGGTGCATTGCAAGAACTCACCATCAACGTAAAGACCAGTACTAAACTACATAAACACTATAAACATGTCTGTTCAAGTCAAAATACTTTTTTTTTTGTTGTAATTTGCAGGCTTCTAAGATTCTGCTAAATAAAAAAAAAAGCTTTCAGGAACTTCAGCTACTAAATATGCAAAACATTATGTGAAATGATGTGAAAATAACACCAAAAAAGACAGAAAGTTTCCTCTATCCATGATCACCACATTCACACACACACACACCCAGAGAGACGAGCACTGCTGTATACAGAATATCTACAAAACTGAAGAATCCAAAAGGGCAGAGCAAACAGCACAGCGGAGAAACACATGTACAGTAATGAGTCCAAACTACTGAAGCTAAAGCGCCAGTGATGGATCCCCAACAATCCTGTGCGCAGCAACCAGAGAACTTGTAGTGAAGATACCTACCTCTCTGCAGTGTCTTCTGGGTTTCTCAGACGCCAGAGGGCGCTCCAGAGCGAGTCCATAATAAATGGGTTAATATGGGGCATTTGGGCAAAATCATAGTTTATAAATGCTTAAACGTTTTTATTTTAAAAGAATACAATCAGTTCCTGAACACAGAACAGTATAAACATTTTAACACTGCTGTTATATTTTAATGAGCTTTTAAACTCGAGTTATAAGACTTTAAAATGGCGCCTCATGTGTGTTCATGATGTCAGTGAGCGCGAACAGCCAGCTTCTCCACTCACCAACCAATCAGCACTCAGTAGCACTAATGCCAGTATTCTGCTGCCCAAAACCCATTTGCTGTAGAAAAAAGGAAATATATGAGTTTTCTTAGCTTTCAGTGAAACACATCCTTCTACTTTCTTAAATGAAAGTAAAGTTCTGGACAAGTGATTAGAAACTATGTACGTCCTGTTGCTGCATGTGACGTCATCGCTGTGGGACAGATGGGAGCTGTAGTTCTGCGCACACTCGCTCGTTTGATTCTGTTGTGAATTCTTTGTTTGAATCTTTACTGTCTGCCTTTTGGATAGCTTGATTAAGTCTTTGTTAGCTTGTTCTAGGACAAAACATTTCCATTTTTGCCTTAATCGTGTGTTGTTTTTGCCTCATTCATCCATATTTTACACTGTAATATAGACACAACTTACCTTTATCAGGTTGTTTTTTTAACCTAGATCTGATAACACTGTATGGTTATGTAAGCTGATGTTATTCACAGTTAAGACCAGTAGATGGCGGTATGTACATTCACCGTTATTTGGTGTGAAGGTGAGCCATGTTGATTTTTGTCTCTGTTAACAATCTTTGATGATCCTTGGATAATATTGAACATCCAGTGATGTTTTGAGTAGATTAGAGATGTAGTGAACTCCATGTCACTTGTTTGGTGGAAATGAGTAACTATTTGTTCATTACTGTTGTGATTTTTATCTTGAAAGTTGCAAACTAATCTGGATGTGGGATTTACAGCATCAGCTATGCTTCTCTACTTTATGCAGTGTCAGTTATGTCTAAAAAGTGCAGTTTAAGCATTTATTTCTTAAAATGTTAGTTACTCAAATGTGTAGGAGTTAAAATATTTCCTAAGCTTTTTCTGTTTATGGTGAATTTCAGTTCTGGACATGTTGTTTAGTGCAAAGACAGTCTGTAAATCAGAGAGACTCTAGTAGTAGCTGTGCAACTCATTCTGAGCTTGTTTAACACAGTGCTGTTTTGTTTTGTGAGGATGGAAACTGCTCCCTGTTGTGACCAAACCAAGAGAAGTCTGCTAATAAAACAGCGCCACCAGCTGAATCACCACAGTTTTGCACTCGCTGGTTCCTTTCTTTCCATGAGTTCACAGCGCAGGGCCTTGCTAGGGAGCTGCGTGAGAGGAAAAGGGTTACAGTGATGAACATTGTGTTTGGTTATGAACACTAAGTAGGCTGTATATTCCACAAATACCAGAAACGGGTCGTTCCTACTGGATTGGTATCTTGGGATAACAAGTTCATTATCTTAACTTACTCGTCATCTCAAGATAACAACTTTTGTTATTTTGAGATAACAAGATAATTAACTTACCTTAAGATGACAATCCAGAAAATTAGACCTGCCTCATGGCCTCTCTGGATTTCTGTAAGTTCCTGTGTAAATACTATGTACAATTTACAGTCCAGTTTCCATCATATTACAGAGAACACAACAAGTAATATGGAATGAATTGCTGAATAAAGGTACTCTGCAATTTTTACACCTTTGTGACGTACATGTAACCACATAGGCCTGTATTTCCTGTAGCAGGTTGGTAGTACTTGCCGTAACCAAGTAACTTCCTAGCATTAAAAGCTGAAAAACTAAACTGCACTTATATATTAAACTTGCAAAGTAAGTTCCAAGTGTTTATTACTTGTAAAAACTACATATTTACCAAAAATGTGTAAGTAATGTTGAACATATGTGGCAAAATAATAACAATAATGATAAAATGCTACGACCAAGGTTTAAGAGTAGATAAGGAAAGACTGAAGTTATAGAGATAAATTCAAGAATTTTAAAGTTCAGTTGCTTTATGCAAACTGGGAGGAAACCGTGGTGATCACAGAATAAAATATCAGTGATTTCCAGTCTGGTCTCCCAGGCAGTCTGTGTTTTTACTCTAAACCAACTTGCAACACATAGAGATGAAGGAAAAATGTCCCTTCAGTTTTTTGAAATTTGAAATTACCGGTAAAATCTGACAAAAACCTCATGCATAGTTTCCAGCATTCGGCTCAATAACCTACAAAAACAGTGTGTTTTCCAGGGGGACAGTCCAGACAGGCAGGTATGATTGAGTGTACGACATATAAGCCAAAAGCCATTTTGAACAAAACCAAAAAAGACCTGCTATATATTTGTCATGTTGGTTGATGGACCACACGCTCAGGGTTCTGTGTCACCCTGTGTAAAACTGGAAACCTAAACACAGTAAAGAGTGGAAAATACCTCTGATTACTGCCAGCTGGGAGTCACTGCTGTCATGAGATGATAAGCAGTAATGATGAATCACTACAAAAGCAATCAAGTTAACTTGTCGTGGTTGGCCGTAAGTTCTGGGGTTATGAAGGCTGTTCGGTCAGTCTTTTGTTTTGTTTTGTCCAGTTCACCACAGACTACCAGCACACATTTCCCAAACTATGTTCTGGTCTTCATCTCATTTGGCACAAATCTGCATAACCCCATCTTTTCCTTGCTCCTGGGCCCCAGGGGGGAAAAACAGGTATTCCTTCCTCACACCATGCGTGCCCTTCCTGATCAGGATTTGAACCGATAACCTCCTAACTGTGGCAGCATGGTGTCTACCAGTGAGCTACAGGATCTCACGGCTTGTTTTTTGTTTTTTTTTAACATTTGTCTTTGTGTTTCTCTTCTTCACCATGGAAGGACACAAAACCAAGGACTCCTCTTCTTGCAAGACTTAAACCAACAACCCTCTGTTTGCAGACGCATGAGTTATGTCAGCGAGCCACACAACCTGCAGAGCAGTGCTGCTTTGTTTTGGATATTTATCTTTGAGATTCCCAGGCTGAGCATCTACTCCTGTTTAGGACCCACAGAGCAGTGTTCAGGAAATTAATGTATTTTTTATATTAAAAATGTTTAAGTATTTACAAACTATGATTTTGCTCAAATGCTCCATCTTAACACATTCATTTTGGACTCGCTCCAGAGCGCCCTCTAGTGTTTGAGAAACCCAGAAGACTTTACAGAGTGGTAATTCTCTCTACAAGATCTCTGTTCTAAACTGATGCTGAATAAAAGCTGTGTGAAATGTAGTGCTCACCTGTGCATTTGATGGTACCTACATATAAACACTGGTGCTCACCATCGCCCCCCAGTGTTATTTTCCATATATGAATGCAGTACAAATTAAAAATCACCAGTGTTTACATATTACATCAAATTAATTTTTTTAAATGGCATTTTTTTCATGATATGGACTTTTTAAGGCCATGATTAACATAATATTCAAAGCCTCATGTTGTAGATGATATTCAAAGTCTCATGTTTATGGCAGTTTATAAGCTCTTACCATAAACGTGAAGAGTAGTCACAAAATGATCATAGCTTAGAAGTAAAAAGCAACGCTAAACATTTGCTGTTTTTAATTTTGTTTTGTGTTTAAAGAACTTTTTTTTTTTCAGTGATCATGAAACAGCAATTTTTAGAGGCAAATAAGTTGTATATTTTGAAATATCAGCCACACCTGGACTGTAATTAGTGGGGTGTTGTGAAAACGCTTACCATCAATGTAAAGACCAGTACTAAATTACATAAACACTGCAAACATCTGTGCATTTCAAAACACTTTGATTTTCTTTTACATGCAGTGTTTTAACAATCTGCTTAAAAACAAAATCAATAACATTTTTTAGACAAGAGCAACAGGGGTTGAACAAAAAAAAAAACCTTGCGACATGAAAACTCTTTATTAACGACCAAAATACAACCTTGTTCGTAGCTCAAACTTAGCTTGGTAGACTAGACTTCTTGTTGATGGTAACTCAAATTAGCATATTAAATTAGCATATTACCATATTACCATGTTAGAAAGTTACCATCAATTTGAGAACAAGTGTTGAAATAGTGGCCGTTTTGAAGAAAAAGTTAAAAACAAATTTGGGCCCGCCCAGCTTGCCCCAATCTCTGCCTGGTGAGGTGGGGTTTGGTGCTGCCCAGATTTTCAGGCTTGAAAATTTGGGTAGACATACCAGCTTTATTTGGGGGGGGGAGGGGCAAGTGGGCCGGCCCAAATTTATCCTGCCTCATTCTCCACCCACAATGGGTGGGGCCAGAGAGCATCACAGGTGCTCCGGGCCTTAGGGAGAATGAGACGCTCCTTTGCCCTGAGGGGAGCGGCGTGGCGGACGAGGTCACGGCCTCCCTGGGGCCTGCGGGAAGCGGCGTGGCAGAGCACGTCACGGCCTCCCTGGGGCCTGCGGGGAGCGGCGTGGCGGAGGACGTCACGGCCTCCCTGGCCTGCGGGGAGCGGCGTGGCGGACGAGGTCACGGCCTCCCTCTGGCCTGCGCGGAGCGGCGTGGCGGACGAGGTCACGGCCTCCCTCGGGCCTGCGGGGAGCGGCGTGGCGGACGAGGTCACGGCCTCCCTCGGGCCTGCGGGGAGCGGCGTGGCGGAGCACGTCACGGCCTCCCTCGGGCCTGCGGGGAGCGGCGTGGCGGAGCACGTCACGGCCTCCCTCGGGCCTGCGGGGAGCGGCGTGGCGGAGGACGTCACGGCCTCCCTCGGGCCTCCGGGGAGCGGCGTGGCGGAGGACGTCACGGCCTCCCTCGGGCCTCCGGGGAGCGGCGTGGCGGAGGACGTCACGGCCTCCCTCTGGCCTGCGGGGAGTGCCGTGGCTTGTATGGGTTCAACATCAATCACTTTTTTGAAAAACTTTCAACAGGAATCTTTCGTTGCGATGCTCATACTTATTCTATGGCACTAGGCTTCTCAATCGTGGTAGAAATGTCTTATATTTCAAGCTTTTTTTCGTCTTCACCGTCTTCGAGAAGACCGTTCACATCACAAGCTTTATAAAGAATCATTTTAATTCTCTCATTTTTAACTCTCCGATTGGCTGGCTGCTCATTAATATGCAAATTTATGCAAAACTTCCATGGAGGATGAGGAAGTTAAGGAGATTTGCATTGTGCTGCATTGTGGGAAGGGTATTTGCAATGCTGGAAGTCCAGTGAAATGATCCTTCACACATCTTCTACACTGCACTTGTTCTCTGAAGCAGCAGAAGAACCAGGAACTTTTCAGGATGGAATGAAGATCCAGAAGCTCAAATCCAGCCCAGAACCCAGTTTCTTGCTAACATCACAGCTTTAACTGTTAAAGAGGATGAAAACAATGAAACTTATCAAACATCTTAACCAGATAAACATCAGGACAGAACAAACAGGACAAAGAGCCGTCCTCCAAAAACTGACACCATCCAACACACCAGGCTACATTAGTACCATAAAGAAAAGCAGAGCTGCTCAAAACCAGTCAAATCAAACAATAAATGGAGATCTTTAGAGATTCAAACAGCACATATGTAAACTCCTAAACATAAGCGTTCTCTAACCAGGGGGTATTTTAAAGCAGGATTTCTCAGTAAACTGGATAACGTAAGCAAATCAGAGTCAAACAGTAAAATTGCTTGTTTTTGTTTTGGCCCAAATTATCAACCTAACAGTTCTCTGCTTATCCTGCTTTGTGAAATACCTCCCAGGTTAACATCAGGCCAGAACAAGGAGAGGAAACAGTAGCGCTCCAAAAACTAGTACCATCCAACACACTACATTAGTACCATAAAGAAATGCAGAGCTGCTCAAAACCAGTCAAACCCAACAACAGCTGAGATTTTAAACTATCCAACCAGCAAATATTACAGTCTATGATGAGACAAAGTTCAATTATTTTTCTCTCTGCTGAGTTTTTCAGATTTCCTGAGTCACTATGGATCAGAGCTGTGGATTTTAGTACATTTTAAATATCTAAAAACGCATCAGAAAATGGTGAATGGTCCAAAAGAGGAACTGAACAGTGTTATATTTAATTCACTGTAATCTGGTGAAAGACCTAACATAAGCAGTGATCAGTTAAGACTCAGATTATCAGTTACTGGCTTTGGGGATAAACACTTACAGCTAGCTGCCTTGCTAACTCTGCTGTGGGTCTGTTTAATGAAGGGCTGCACAGAGAGTGGACGTTTGATTTCACTGTCCAAAAGTTGTGCTAATGTCACTCCCTCACTCACTACCATAAACACATTATTATAAATGCAACTAAACATATTTTATTTCAATTGTACTGTTGAAGTATTTCAGCTATAAAATACAGCGTAACAGGAAATACTTTTAAAAACTCATTTAGAAAATTGTTTTCTTTAATTGTGCATAGTTTATCTTTTTGTTACCAGAATTATTGCAAAGTTTAAAATAACTTGTAAACTTCTAATCTCTTCAATTGGCTGTGTCTGCTAGAGGGCGCTGCTTAACATTAATGAGCGTGTCGAGTTGATCATATAAAAACAGAAAAGCGGTCAAAAACGTTTTGAAGGCCGCCAGCAAATGGTGCAGTTCTGCACTTTTCCTCCTCGTCACCAGCAGATGGCGCAGTTCTACACTGTCCCTCCTCGTCACCAGCAGATGGCGCAGTTCTACACTGTCCCTCCTCATCACCAGCAGATGGCGCAGTTCTGCACTTTCTCTCCTCATCACCAGCAGATGGCGCAGTTCTGCACTGTCCCTCCTCGTCACCAGCAGATGGCGCAGTTCTACACTGTCCCTCCTCATCACCAGCAGCAGGTGAAGTTCATTACTAATTAAGGCTTTTAGATTTAAGAGACGCTGCTGAGTTTAAATTCTAAGATCTCCCTCTGCTGAAGTGAGCTTAGCTTAGCTTACACAGCCCCCCCAGGTAGAGCTCTGACTGTGGATCAGTTCTAGTTTGGAGGATGGAACTCCTATTCTCCTTATCTAGAATACCAACATGAGAACCATGGTTCTTAAAAAGATATTTGTGGTTAACTAAACTCCCTAAAGAGAGAAAAGTGGGTGAGTTTAGGTGATCTGAATGTTTCCACTGCAGATCAGGAGTTTATCTCTGATTTCTCTGTTTTCTCTTTCTGAGCAAAGTGCTCTGTGTGGATCTCACAGTCTCTCTCCAACAGTCAGAAACTATCGCTCAGGTGAGGAGAAAGTCACTATGATCACTATTACAGAGCACTAAGAGCACCAGAACGGAAACTAGAACGGCACCATCGATATTTCTACAATTAGCACTTTGTAAACACTTCACAAAGGTGATGTAGGAAGCTGATGCTAACATTATTAGCATGTGTGCTAGCAGCTAGAGAGTGTTTTTGTTACTATTCTCCTCTTTAACAGTGAAAACATTAACAGTTAAGCCCTCCTGAGGTTTGTAAACGGAGCTCTGAGCTGATCTGGTCTTGCTTCTGTTTTGTTCTTGTACCTTTACATTTTCACACTGTTCACTAAAATAACAGCATCATTTCATAATAATGTCTGATCAGCCTACCTGACTGTGAAGCCGCTCTTCATTTAGAGTCACTGTCCTTCGAACACCACACCTCATTGGCTGATCAGTTACCAATTCATTGGCTGATTGGTCCATTATTAATGTAAACAGTTATCATGGTGTAAACACTGTGCAGTTTTAAAGACTTTGAGACATAAAATTAATATTGAAAATGTTGCTCAAATAAACGTTGCTCTCGTAATTGAGTTCAATCAAAAAGTCAGAATCTAAATAGATTAATTTATTGTGACTTTTGTTTTACAAAAACTCCAAAAGTATCTGGCAGCAGGAAGTGGCAACTCCGCCTTCCGGAAATGGCGCCTGCCATTGAGAACTGGTAACAAGTCGCACCTGCCGCACAGAAACGGAGCCCCTCTAAAAACAGGCCCGGACCAACAGCTCCTGTGAGGAAAGCAGGAGCGCCAGAGGGGATTTTAATCTGAAATACACTAGTTTGACCGCTAGATGGCGCCAGAGGAGGATTTGATTTTGTCATGCACTAGTTTCACCACTAGAGAGCACCAAAGGGTGACTTTATTTTGCAGTACACTCGTTTGACCAATAGACGTTCCTGACTGACCAGTCCAGATCAGTCAACTACCAGAAGCAGCAGACGGAGGGCTGGAGTAAGACAACACATTTAGTAAAGGTTTAAAATACTAACTTTAATCATTGAAACAGATGAATTTATATGTTGACTAAGTGAATCTGTATAAGCGAACAAGCCTCTCAAATCCTTTGACCTTTGTTTGTTTTTATAAATTAAACAGCTTTTCTTTACTGTGTTCCATACTTGTGTTTACCTGGACAAATGTTCCAAACCATGTTTCTGTTCTGTGAGAAATGGATCAAAAAGCAGAAGAAGTCCAGCACAGATGGATTAATGAAACCTTATGGTTTTACTTTCTCATGGTTTCCAATAGAGAGCAAACCTTTAGATCCCCTTAAGAAGCCATCAAATACATTTAGAATCAGCCACGTGTTAAACCCACAGGAACACTCCAGTTCACCCCAGACTACCAGCACACATTTCACAAACTGTGTTCTGGTCTTCGTCCAATTTGAGTCATGAGAAGATGCATGTTTAGGAGCATAAGGGAGTTTTTTTCGGTGTATCTTGGAATCTTTAAGACAAACCTCCAAAAAAAGATTAGGGAGTGAAACTTGGTGGCTTAGTGGGAAAAGCTTGGACCACAGATGTGGGAGGTTGTGGGTTTAAGTCTGGTGTGGTGCCAGCCTGGAGGAGAAGTGAACACAAAAAAAAACACTAGTGAAAGTTGTTGAGTAGCTTCAGTTCCCAGAAGTAAAGTCGAACAGGTTAGATTTTTGCATACACAAAGGGTTAAGTCCACATTTTTTCCCAGCAAAATTCTGCATAACCCCCTCTTGTCCTCTCTCCTGGGCCCCAGGGGGGAAGACAGGTATACCTTCGGCCCTGGTTCTTAGGCATCGCCCTCCGGCCTTCCTCACACCTCATGCACCCTTCACCTTGTGTGTGTGTTTCACCACCACCGTGACCTTAGGATCCTGATCAGGATTTGAACTAATAACCTCCTAACCGGGGTGGCATTGAGGCTACCGGCTTGTTTGTTGTGTTTTTTTTGTATGACATTTGTCTTTGTGTTTCTCATCTTCACCACAGAAGGACACAAGATAAATGACTCCTAGCAGGATTTGAACCAACAACCCTCTGCTTAGAGACATGTGATTTATACTAGTGTGCGACACAACTTACAGGGGGCTACTGCTGTGTGTGTTTTGGATATTTGTCTTTGAGATTCCCAGACTGAGCATCTACTCCTGTTTAGGAACCACAGAGCAGTGTTCAGGAAATGAATGTATATTTTATATTAAAAATTTTAAGTATTTATAAACTATGATTTTGCTCAAATGCCCCATCTTAACACATTCATTTTGGACTCGCTCTGGAGCGCCCTCTAGTGTTTGAGAAACCCAGAAGACATTACAGAGTGGTAATTCTCCTCTCTACAAGATCTCTGTTCTAAACTGATGGTGAATAAAAGCTGTGTGAAATGTAGTGCTCACCTGTGCATTTGATGGTACCTACATATAAACACCGGTGTTCACCATCGCCGCCCAGTGTTATTTTCCATATATGAACATGGTACAAATTAAAAATCATCAGTGTTTACATACTACATCAAAAAAAATTTTTTTGCATTTTTTGTTTTTCATGATATGGACTTTTTAAGATTATGGGCCATGATTCACATAATATTCAAAGCCTCGTGTTGTAGATGATGTTCAAAGTCTCATGTTTATGGCAGTTTATCAGCTCTTACCATAAACGTGAAGAGTAGTCACAAAATGATTATAGCTTAGAAGCAACTAGAAACATTAAAAATTTGTTGTTTTTAGTTTTATTTAGTATGTTTTTTTGTTTGTGGACAACAGATTTCTTAAACAAAGATATTTATGTTTTAAAAGATCAGCAACACCTGGGTTGTAATTAGTGTGGTGCCTTAAAAGCACTTACCATCAATGTAAAGACCAGTACTAAACTACATAAACACTGCAAACATGTCTGTGCAAGTTAAAAAACTTTGTGTTTTTTTTTTTTTTACTTGCAGGTTTCTAAATCTCAGCTAAATAAAAGAGAGTTCTGATAGGAATTTCAGCTATTAAACACGCAAAACGTCATATGAGACAATGTGAAAATACCACCAAGACCAAAGCCTTCTTGATCGCTCAAACTTAGCTTGGTGGACTAGACTTCTTGTTCATGGTAACTCAGTAAATTAACATATTACCATATTACCACGTTAGAAAATCACCACAAGTTACCATCAATTTGAGTGCAAGTGCTGAAATAGTGGCGGTTTTGAAGAAAACTAAAATACAAATTTGGGCCCGCCCAGTTTGCCCCGGTTTCTTCCCAGTGTGGTGGGGTTTGGTGCTGCCCAGATTTTCAGGCTCGAGTTTGGCTTAGCGTACACAGCCCTCAGGTGGAGCTCTGACTGTGGATCAGTTCTAGTTTGGAAGACTGAACTCCTCTTTATCTGGAACACCAACGCGATAACCACAGCACTAAAACAAGATATTTGTGGTTAACTAAACTCCCCAGAGAGAGAAAAGTGGACGGGTGAATGCTTCCGCTGCAGATCAGGAGTTCATCTCTGATTTCTGTTTTCTCTTTCTGAGCAAAGTGCACTGTGGGGATCTCGCGGTCTCTCTCCAACAGTTTTAAACTAGCGCTCAGGTGAGGAGAAAGTCACTATGGTCACTATTACAGAGCAGGAAGAGCACCAGGACGGAAACTAGAACGGCACCGATGACATTTTACAATTGGCACCTTTGTGAAGTGTTTACAAAGTGCCGAAAGCTGCCTAGGAAGCTAATGCTAATCATTAGCATGTGTGGTAGCTGCTAGAGAGTGTTTTTGTTGCTATTCTCCCCATTAACGTCGAAAACATTGACAGTTAAGCCCTCCTGAGGTTTGTAAACGGAGCTCTAAGCGGATCTGGTCTTGCTGAAGACTAGCTGTTTCTGGTTTGTTCTCGTACCTTTACGTTTTCCCACCGTTTACCAAAATAGAGGGCACCGTTTCATGTCATAATAATGTCAGTTTAGCCTACCTGACTTTGGAGCCATTCTTCTTTCATCCATTTGGAGTCACCATGCTTCTAACACGACACCTCATCGGCTGATCTGTTAACGTTTCATCGGCCGACCGGTCCATTATTGATGTGACGCCGACGATTACGTTCTGACCCTTTGGGATCTGGGTCCGAACAGTCCTCCGCGCAGCTGGATCCCGAACTTCCCGACGGGCCGACGCCACCTCCTTCTCGCTGACCCTTAACACCGGAGCTCCTCAGGGCTGGGTGCTCAGCCCTCTCTTGTATTCCCTGTACACCCACGTCTGCTCAGCCAGACACAGCTCCGATGTCATCATCACATTTGCAGATGACACCACGATTGTGGGCCAACGAGGAGGCCTACAGAGAGGAGGTCAGCTTCCTGACACACTGGTGCCGGAAGCGAGAGAAAGAGCCCACCCCCGTCAACGGAGCCTCTCTAGAGAGGGTCAGCAGCTTCGAGTCCCTCGGTGTTTACATCTCAGAGGAGCTGACGTGGACCGAACGCACCACACGGGTGGCGAAGAAGGCGCAACAGCGCCTTTTGGCATGCATCCCCGCATCCTCAGAACATTGTACACATGTACTGTGGAGGGCATTCTAACAGGCTCCATCACCTCCTGGTACGGGAACTGCACCGCCATCGAGCGGAAAGCTCTGCGGAGGGTGGTGCGGACAGCCCGGCGCATCACCGGGGTCCAACTCCCAAACCTCCTGGATTTATACACCAGCCGCTGCCTGAGGAAGACCAGGAGGACTCCGAAGGACTCCACCCACCCAAGCCACTGTCTGTTCTCACAGCTGCCGAGCAGGAGGAGGCGCAGAAGCATAAAGTCCAGAACCGTCCGGTCCCGAGCCGTTTTTTTCCCCGGGCCATCCGGCCGCCGAACGGCCAGCGGCGCCGGCGTATCGGCCTATAGGCCTGTCGCCGCACCTCCGAGTCGTCGTCGCGATGATCTCCGTGGACAATCCACAGCTCATCCACACACGGCTTTTCTATACCGTATTCCGTACTTGCGTTTACCTAGGCTCATTTTTCTGAAATAAAACTTGTGGTTTGACTGGTTTCCAACAGAGAGCACACGTCTAGATCCCGTTAGAAAACCATGGGATGCATTTGCAATCAGCCACCTGTTAAAGCGTTAGGAACACCTCGGTTCAGCACAGACTACCAGCACACATTTCTCAAACTTGGTCTTCATCTGCTTTGAGTCATGAGAAGATGCATTTTTTGTGTGTGTCTTGGAATCTTCAAGACAAACCCCCCAAAAAAAGGCTGCTGTGTGTGAAACTTGGTGGCTTAGTGGGAAAAAGCCTTGGCTTCAGATGTGGGAGGTTGTGGGTTCAAGCTGAGGAGGAGGGAGAGGGGAGAAAGGGAGGAAAAGAGAAGAAGAAGAAGAAAAAAAAGAAGAAAGGCAAGCAGGTGAATGAAATGGGCAATGTTTTAGTTAGCTTGCTAAGTAAAATGAGGGTCCAAGTAGGTAGAATTTTTGCATACCCAAAGGGTTAAGTGCAACTTTTTTTTTCCAGCAAAATTCTGCATAACCCCCTCTTGTCCTCTCTCCTGGGCCCCAGGGGGGGAGACGGGTATACCTTCCCCCCTGGTTCTTGGGTTGCGCCCTCCGGCCTTCCTCGCACATCATGCACCCTTCACCCTGTCTGTGTGTGTGTGTGTGTGTGTGTGTGTTTCACCACCACCGTGATGTGAGGATCCTGCTCGGGATACGAACCGATAACCTCCAGACTGTAGAGGCAGGGCATCTACCAGTGAGCCACAGGATCTCACAAGTGTCCTCCTTTTTTTTTAACATTTGTCTTTGTTTTTGCCATCTGTACTGATGAAGAGATGCAAATGAAGGCCCTAAAGTGGGGCTTGAACCAACAACCCTCTGGTTGAAGAAACATGATTTATACCAGCAAGCCACATGGCCTGCAGGGAGCTGTCTTTTTTTTTAACATTTGTCTTTGTTTTTGCCATCTGTACTGATGAAGCCATGCAAAAGTAAGGCTTGAACCAACAACCTTCTGGTTGTAGAAACATCATTTATACCAGCAAGCCACAGGCCCTACAGGGAAGCTCCTTTGTTTTTTGTTTTTTTTGGACATTTGTCTTTGAGATTCCCAGGTTGTGCCTCTACCCATGTTTAGGAACATCTTGATGACTTAAGGAAGCGATGATTCCAGCTCTGGAGTTCTTACCGTAAATGTGAGGACTGAATGCTTTTAGCCTTACAATAAACACTTGTAATAAAACTACACTCATTGTGTTTTTTGCTCTTGATGTGAGAAGGACTTCAAAGAAAGTTATATTTTGTATAAAAGTTGTTTTATACTGTAAAACAGCTGCGTTCTAGTTAACGTGGCAACTCTAAAAAGCATTCAACATCAACGTCAAGACCAGTTCTGAAATATAACAATATAATATAATATAACGTCTCATAGATTGAATTCTTTGAGCTGAGATGTGTTAAGAGGCAAGTTCAGAAAAAGCGCTTCACACCATTTAATTAAAGCAAACAATGAACACACCACAAGCTTTTAATGCAGTTTAACCTGCTTCGTTGATCAAACACATCTTGGTGCTTCAGGCTTCTCATTCATGGTAACTCAAGAAATGACCATGTTCCCATGTCAGGAAATCAAAAGTTACCTTTTCTTTACTGTGTTCCATACTTGTGTTTACCTGGACAAATGTTCCAAACCATGTTTCTGTTCTGTGAGAAATGGATCAAAAAGAAGCCGTTCCTTCCAAAGTCCAGCACAGATGGATCAACGAAACCTCGTGGTTTTACTTTCTCATGGTTTCCAGTAGAAAGCAAACCTTTAGATCCCCTTAAGAAACCATCCAATACATTTTGAATCAGCCACCTGTTAAACT